TACTCACTGTCTACACACACATTACATTCCCCTCTTTTATATACCCAGAGTACCCTATTTCTAGTAAGAACTTGAACATTCGCCAAAGTACATGATAGTTCTAGAAACGTTGCGTCACGGTGGTCATGTGACTCGCTGACGCAACAGTATATTTCCAGGATGTTTTTGGATGATGTGCCTGTACTGTTTCTAGACTGACCTCTAATGGTTTGAGAATAAAGTTTAAACTGTGTACTTAAAACGTTGATCGTTTGAATACCTTGAATTTTATCCTATTAATAATCAACGCTATAATTAACGTCACCCGTTCGATTTGATCATTATCCATATAAAGTGATAAACAAGTATAACAGTGAGAAAGTTAAAATACTGAAATATTTTCATGTTAGCCTGTTCTGCCCTTCTTCAGCGTAAGAAAATGTAAAGCTTCTAAAGGCTTCTCTCCTCTGATCCCATGCTGACGTCGTCGACGCTCAAAAATCCTAGATTAGGCCTTGGACCATGCGCTACAAATTGTTTGTAGTTTGAGGTTTTAAACAATACTGTGCGTAATGAAAATTAAAAAAAAAGAGGAAACATCGTTCGAGACTTTTTTTTTAGGTTTGATAGTTTTTCTAAACAACGACTGAATGAATGTAAGAGTATAATTTTTAAAGTTTAATGGATAATGATATTTTTCAGTTATAGAATATTCAGCCTTTAATATGTACAGTTTGAAAAAACCACTAACTCTCAACATAATGCCGTTTCAGATTATGAACACAGTAGAATTCTATCAGTTTACTAACTTATGTTAATAAGTCTTACAAAGTGTTTGTATCAAAAACTCTTATTATGAGTAACAATTACAAAAATCGACTTTTTTGACACAATAATAAGTAAAATTATTTAATATAACTTACAGCCAACTATAATATTGTTACGACATCGAGGTCACGTGATTTGTATCACGCCACGTCATTCTCGAACTTTCACGTCTTTTCCTTAAATCTCGTGATCTTTCTAGATATAGTGTAGTCTTGTATATATAAGACCGGCCACGAAGCGACATAGAAGGTAGTGAGTAATTGAATGTATGCGGACAGAATATTGTTGAGCACGTGAGACGTAAGTTATAACGTTTGTTATAGA